ATAAGTGTTGATTTATTGATTTGAGCGAATCCTCCGATAGTTAAGCCAAACGTATGACTATTTCTAACAGCAGTCGTAAACGTAAGCCATTCCCTGTACTCACTGTCCGACATATCCCTCACATTCAGACCATTCAACGCATCACTAATTTTATTGCATTTTTCATCTAAAGTATCGCTTAATAAAAACGTGGTAATTGTTTCAATTATAAAAACCAAAGTAGTGATGGTCAAATTCTCTGAAATCCCCTTTAGCTGTGCAAATTGTCCATGTGATATAAGTATGTATATACCAAACATTATTAATGCTGTTGCTAGTACAATTTTTATTATTACTAGCCATGAAATATCATCGTCAATTGATTTTATTAATTTATTAGCATTTATATAATACGCTTTATTTTTTGCTAGTACCATGGTAAAGTTATTTTTGCCACGATTCATCATATGGTTTACTAATAATTGATCTAGTAACAAGAAAAGCAAATTAACAACACAAATCATGTTACATTTATTTACCTTTAGTTAACTTGTTAATGTTGTTTTCTATTTGAGCAAGTTTATGATTGAAAATTATTAAAATCATCCAGATAATACACGAATATGACCAATATGATGTGAATAAAATTACAGTATTTATACTTATTATGCAATAAAAAATAGTAATTTTGGCTTGGATATAACTCATTATAAGAAAGTTACAAAGAATTATTACTACAACTAACCAAACGCTTAAGAGTGTAAGTAATTTTACCCATATTTGATTAAAATTAATTTGCATATAGATCAATTTTTCTATTACATTAATGTCTAGTTTAACATTAACATGGTAAACTATTAAAATATGCAAGATGATTGCTAAAATATATTCAACAGCATTTATGAGTAACATATTTAAATAATCTACATGTATCTGTATCTTAATTATTGTATAGTGTACTAAGCAAATGGATATAACCATATAAAATAGTACAAACAAAGCAAAATAACAATAACCATAATATTTAATAAATTTGTTTTGCCGTATATTAAAGTCGCGATCAATGGATAGACCGTTAAATGTTAGGCCAATAATGCGATGAAACCAAAGCAATGGTCGTATCGCTAGACGTAATAATTTATTAATAAACATATTTTAATTTAAATTAAATTAAACTTCACAATCAATTTTTAAAATATTATAAACTTTAGTTGTAGTATATTACTAGTAAATAACATGTAATTTTAATATATTATTTGAAGTAGTATTGTATTTATAAAATTTATATAGGTATTGTAACAACTTAAATAGCCATGTAACATGTAAAAATAATTAATTTCCTATTATTCAAAAAATGTTTTCAGTAACAAACTAATTATTTTGTTTACTGGTTTCACATAATAGAAATAAATGACCATGATAATTTTATTACAATATAGTTACTTTTTCTATAAATTCTGAAAGGTAGCATGTAGTTACAGATAATAAGCTTTATTTTAATTATTTTTTAAACACAGAATTAATTCTTTTGTTGTCAATTTGTGATTGATAAAATAATTAATCTACTGCATATAATTAATTACTTTGTAATAAATAAAATATTTACAATGTATACATAATTAATATGAACTAAAAAACGTGGTTTTTTAAATTACACAATTATTATTATAATAACTTATTCTTTGATTACAAAGAATATATTGTTATATATAATATAATATTATTTTTATCAAATGTCATAGGTACATTAAGAACAATAAAATCTACTGTTGTATTTATAAATTATTATTTTATTACAATAGTACATGTCTCTTTATTATTAATTATTATTGTTAATTTATGCAATAATATCTTGTTAGTTACATGATATTAGTTAGTTTTCTAGTTAACATAGAGGCATTTTTTAAATCAAAATGTTTGTTATTTAAAAATATATTGAATATTATAATAAATTAAAAATAATAGTCTTTCCAAAAACCATCGCAGGTATTTATAAATGGATTTGTCAAAACCATGGTCATATTTCTCGGATCCAAGTCACGTACATTTACCGTATTGTTAGCAGTTAGCATACGGGGCCATATATCATCTGGTTTTCTATCATGTATAAATAACATAATTTAATAAAATGCCAATTACTTAATATAAGTTACCCAGTTTTTGCAAACGTGGTCCACATATGCATAATATCAGTGCTAAACTCCCTGTCCATAGGAGTATAACCAGAAAAATCATTATATGGTATACCAAATATAAATGCTAGATCAGCGCCGTGACAAATACCCATGGTGCTTTCGTTACAGCTCCTGGCAATGGCCTGTTTTTGGCTTTGATAATCCAGACGATAAAAATAGACATTATGGTTGTTTTGTAGACCAATAGCGGCCATATGTTTGGCGAATAGATATGTCGGACAACCCATAAGTAAATCACCAAAAAATTGATAGAAAGCCCATTGAAGGGCTTGTGGGCTACCGGTGTCGACACCATTAAGGTAAAAATCGGCCACTTTGTCAGCAACTAATCCATGGTATCGTTTCTCCGCTGCCCTGATATATGTCTTAAAGTCATCGATGGTTTTAATGTTGGTGTAGTTGTACTGTACGGCCAGTATTGAGCCCTCCGTACGAGTAATGCCGGACAGTATGTTTATATCTAGAGATTACATGTTTAAATTTGAGGGTAAATTAATGTATCAAGGTGTTTTAGTTAAATACCCGAGTTCAATTGTTGAGTTTTAAATGCATTTTGAGCACCAATTGGTAGAAATTCTGTGCCTAATATCGGGAATGATATCACTTTTGTCGACAGTTTTAGCATATCTTCGGCGCTAATGTTTCGCAAACATTGCAACCAATGCTCAGTTTGGCTACAATTAACGTGTTGTGCCATTTGTATGCCCTGTGCTATGGACTCAGCTTTTGACTGCACGTCCCTATCCTTATTGAACAGATGTGCGCCGCTCTCCATAATAGCCCTCCTGAATAGACCTTTAGATAACGGGGAGAGTATGTGCGCCGATACGGACCGACTGCCGGCGCTCTCACCAAAAATGGTGATCTGATCCCTATCTCCGCCAAATGAGTGGATGTTTTCTCTAACCTATTATTAAATCATTAATTTATATAAACTATTATTTAACAAATTTATATAAATTAAGATTAAAAAAGAGATCAATTAATACCCATTTCAGGCCCAATAACTGGTCATAAAAGCCGACATTTCCGGGCGCGTCCTCCCGATCCCCGTATAGGAAACCAAACGGTCCTAACCTATAGTTTGTGGACACAATCACCACATCATTGGTGGCCAAAATGGACCCGTTGTATGATTCGAAAAAAATTGACCCTCGTACAAAACCGCCGCCGTATATCCAAAACATAATGGGTTTGAGCTGTGATTTGTTTGTGTTATTATTGCCCGCATTTGGTGTCCATATGTTTAATACCAAACAGTCTTCACTTATTGTCAAAGACTCTGATGACTGCATACAAGAGTTACGACGTTTTGTGCCATCGATAACATCCTTAACACAATAATTTGTTTTATAATTTTAAATAATTGTGTTTTTACATTTAATTAACTAAATAATTATAGCTTTACAAATTAAATGTGTTAATAAAGTGTTATAATTTATATATTATTAATAATTACAGTGCAACTCCTCCATAGCGAACCCCCTCTACAGCGAATCACCCTCTACAACGAACACTTGATAAATTAACCTTGTATAACAAATAGTGCTATTTTACCCCCTCTACAGCGAACCCTCTTTATAACGAACGGTTTTGGTGTGCATTTGGCCGTTCGTTATGGAGGAGTTGCACTGTACTATAATTATTACATACCTTGATAGGCTGTTTGAGTGGTACGGGCGGTGCAAATCTCAAATCCCCGATCGGTGGCTCAGCGAACGGTATATTCAAAAACTGGTCAACAGTTTTGTTGAGCACCTGTAGTGTCAGACCTCTCACAACACCCGATGTTGTGTTTACTTCAATGCTATTTACATTCAAATTTGTTGATAACTTTAAAATAAATATAATTAAACAACAATAATCTAGAAACATTATTAGTAATTTAAATTACGGCAATAAAAAATAATTTATTTTGTTAATTTTTATGTTACATTACATGTTATTTATACAGTATTATGCACATAATATTATCAACAAGTATAGTTAGTATTTATTCAGCCTATTCTCATTGATTACTAATCAATGATTAGATAATAAAAAGCAAATATTTATCTACTATTAAATTATAGTTAATAATGTAATATTACATTAATAAACGTATGCATGTATAAGTTATTCATACAGAATGATATTATCTAGATGCAAATATGTCATAATCATTATAATAAATCATGTTTTAGCATTGAAATTAATAAGGATTAAGCATGGTACCAATATTTAATAAATGACAGGTTTTCATTATCAGTGAAAGCACGTGTTAAATAGGATGTATTTAAAGTGATAACATTATAATAGTTAACTTTAGTTCTTGTATTGAATTCAAATAATTCATTTAAGAAGTGAACACATTTTTGTGTTTATTGATTTGAAATGTGTTCAAAATTAATGAGTGTTTCTTTGACTGAAATGAAGAGTAAA